GGTCGAAGCTGTCACTGCTCCCCGCGCAGCTTTGGCTTCTGTCAGCTCACCCGACCCCGCCCCGGCCCTTCTCGCATTGCGGGTCAGGGGCGATGCCCTCTGCCCACCGCCCGCGGGAGGCCGGGGTCTCTGGAAGGAAGCCCCGGAGGCCAGGGTCGCCCAGCGCGCGGCGCCGTGGGTGTGGACACGGGAGCACACAGTCTTTCCTGAGCAAAAAGGGACATGGCCTAAGGTGTCTAAGGACGAGTGGGTTCAGGGACTGAAACACGCGAGGCTTTGCCATCTCTGAAGAGATGCCAGGCGCGGTGAGCTGGAACTTGCTGCGAATATCTCCTTCAAAGATGAAGGCTGGACTAAAGCCTAGGCTTTTTAGTCTGATCAGTTTTGTGCTTGGCTGCTGCTGGTCTACCACGTGGACCATGCTTCCAGTCTGGAATTTTGCTTTTCTGCCCACTGGCTTCAAACTTCAATCTTCAGACCTCCAGTGCATCTGCTCAGGCTTTTTACACTCAGCTAGTTCCTGGGTGTCCTGAGGGTGGAGAGCGACCGATGACCACTCAACAGGCAGACATGTCTTCTTGGGGCCCCCCCAGTGAGCCCCTCGTTCTCACAGCCCCATCCTTGAGCCACCAATGCATCATCGCCATTGCAGGCAGAGCCTCCTGTTTCTGCCTACCTCTCCTCCAAGCATGGAGGACACAGCCCCGCAGGCTCTGCCGTGTCATCTGTTTCCCAGCCACCCCAGCACGAAGGTGTGTGCAAGGCTGGGAGAGGAGGGGGGTAAAGCTGGGCCGCAGTTCGGGTGGGGAAGGGCCTTGGACCACACACCGGGGGAGGCGTTCTCAAGCAGTGAGCAGCTTCTGACCTGAGCCTACAGCAGTGAGCAAGAAACCAAGGGACCCACTATGAACAGGAAATTAATTTTATTTTAAATCCAAGGGGCCAGAACAAAGAAACTTCTAGCCTTGGAGAGCAAACTGAGGCGGCCCGGGGCGGGGAGGACAGCGATGGCTGGGGAGGAACACATCTTCACTCGGGCGCCGCCTCCATCAAATACCCGTTCTCTGGAGCGAGGTACCCGTCGCCGCCCTCGGACTCCAGGTACAGGTCTCGGCCATCGCCGCCCAGGCCCTCCAGCCCGTTGTCCTGACCCCCGCCACCGCCCCCACCTCGGGCCTCATCCCGGCCGCGCTCCCCGCCCCGCTCCCCCCGCTTGTGCTCGCGCTCGCGATCCCTCTCGCGGTCCCGGCGCCGCTCCCGCTCGCTCCGGTGGCTTCGCCGGCGCTCCCGGTCTCGATCCCGGCCCTTTTCCTCGGGGCCATCAGGGCCATCAGGACCAAGCTCTCCCGGAGGCCCGTCATCAGGAGGGGCGTCCCCGGCCTCGGAGGGCTCAGCCATGTCGCCGCCTCCGCCACCGCCTCCTCCACCCCGCAGCTCCTCCTTGCGCTCCCTCTCCCGACGCGCCCGCTCCCGGCTCCGGCTGCTGCGCCGCTTGCGTTCCCGGTCCTTGTCCTTGCTCCGTTCCCTGGAGCGCCTCCGCTCGTCCTTGTCTCGACTTCGCGAGCGCCGCCGCCGGTCCCGGGAGCGGGAGCGCCGCCGCTCTCTCTCCTTGTCCCGCTCGCGGCTCCGCTCCCTGCGCTCCCGCTCGCGGTCCCGGTCCCGGTCCCTGTGCGGAAGCGGGGAGGGCCCGGGCCTGGATGAGATGGGTAGTGACCTGCGGCCTAGCCCCCCAGGAAACCACCGGGTCCAGGACACAGGCCCCCAATCCTACCTCTCGTCGTAGCGGGACGTGTCGTCCCGGCCAGAATGCCGGATGTTCACGTCGGCCCCGCCTCTTCGGGTTCCACCCAGGCCGCCTCCTGCGGGCAGGCGGCAGAGGTGCTCAGGGGCGGGGCGTAGGGGGGGGGGGAGAGGCACTCAGGGGCGGGGCAGAAGGAGGGGCCTCAGAAGGTAAACAGGCAGGAAAGCAAGCACTTCTGAGGCCTAGGAGCCAGGTCCTGTGCACTCATCGACATCCACCTTCTGCCCACACACCACCGGTGCTGGTGGACACCAGGTTCCGCCCGACTCCGCCTGCCACAGGGCCTCCCGCAGCCCTTCCAGCCTCCTCACACCCAAGGCCCAGGGCCTCAAGTGGAAATATCCCCTCTCCTAGGCCTCGCTAAGGCCCAAACTTCATGCCAAGTAGCCTGCATGAGCTTTTCCTTCCCATCACCAACTACCCTGACCCCCCATGGACCCCCCCATGCAAATTTCCATGCCCACCCACACCTGGTAGCCAGGTGCCAGGTCCTGTCCGTCCAAACAGATGCACCAGGAAAGGTGGTGCCAGGCAACAGGCACACAGCACCTGTCACCTGAACAATCAGTTCCCACTGACAGCCTCTCCTTTTGGCCACTTGCCCTGCGGGTCCCCAGGACAGCATGTGGGACCAGCCCCCACGGGCCTGAGCCTGCCTCTGTCAGCACACTTCTACACTCCCTGCCAGGAAGGCAGCTTCAGTGAAGCAGGGCTGAGTTCCAAGGAATCACTTTTCATGACCAGAGAAAAAGGAAAAGGCTGACTGGATGCCAGGACATTCAGCAGGGCAAGGTGAGTGGCCAGGTTTCCACGGGTCACAACCCAGCTTTGGTGACACCATCAATGCTGGGATACAAACAGCCTTCCGTGGATCCTTTGTTTCCTGGCCACCAGGACACACTACCATTTCTGCCTAGCTGCAGGCCTACAAACAACAAAACCAACCAGACATGTCTGACACTCCAAGCCGTGAGCCAAAAAGTAACCTTTCCTCCTTAAAGAGAAATAAAATCTCTTTATACAACTGTTCTTTTTAATAACTAAGTTTAAAAGAGACAATTACCACTTGTAAAACCTTGCCTTTGGGTTCCATGAGTAAAGGCTGGTGGCTGAATGAAGCCCTGCCCCTGTGGGAGGGGCCCACCCATTCTGAGAGGAGAGCACCCAGCTCAGAGGCTCGCCCTCCAGCCCACGGGCACTTACTCAGCTCAAGCACCTATACCCAGCTCAGGCGGGTACTAAGCCAAGTGACAATGAAGGCTGGAGCAGCAGCCACTGCACAGGGAAGAGCACCTTCTCTGACAACTGCCACCAGGCAGCTTCCACAAGGGCTTCCACTTGGGTCCAGGACCAACACCGTGCCACTAGGCAGGCAACCCCACAGAGAACACAAACACACCGCTGCAGGGCCAGGCATTACATAGAGCTTGTGGCTGGTCACACTGGGCCAGGACCACGAGACATACCACAGATGCAGCTCAGCTTTCCCAGCTCAGGAAGTCCACTGGCAGGGCAGGCCTCTGGACTCCCAAGGGACACCCACAGTGCTGAATCAACAGGCCCTTGCCCATTTCAGATAGCTCATGATACATTTCAGAGACTCACCACCAACCTTGAGTTGACCTTGACTGAGATAGCCTAGGACAATTAAGACAGAAAACCAAGTGCCAGAGGCTGCTGCTGCTACACAGCTGGTACCCAGAAGACACTGGCTAAGTTGATGAATGAACCACAAATGGGAAAAGCACAGTGGGAGCAGACCAGGGCATATACAAGTCCTATCATGTGTCACAGGCCATGTGTGGCGTGCGTCACATGTCCAAGCTCAGTGAACTGAGCATTCTAACACTGTCCAGGAGAGCAGGAGAAACAATGCAACAGCCGGTGGCTGGTCATGATTAGCCCTAGACCAGACACACTCCAGTGGGAGAGGAGCTGAGATGGTGAACAGGTGAGAGGTGCCAAGAAGATGGAATGCAGGTGCAAGGTGGTGGGGGGAGGAGAAGAGGCTGCACATGCTCACCTAGCCGCCGGGGCCTCCAGCCCTTCACAGTACGGCCCCTCTCCACGTCCACAAGGACCCTCCTGCCATCTATCTTCTTGCCATCTGCGTGCTTGTAAGCGGCTGCAACAGATTCGGGAGGGGGAGGGGAGAGGAGTCCCCAGAAGATCCTCTAGTCAGGACAGGGACCAGTGATGCCACATCCCCACCCCACCAGAGACCCTCATCATCATCACCACCACCATCATCACACACACACACATCCAACCAGACAGCCAGGCAACTGACAGCCAGACCAACCCTCTCCCGACCCTGCGAGAGGCCTGCTCCATCTTGGTGCCTGCTCCCTCCTCAACACCGCAATCACCATCAGGGACAGTAGGTCCACTCCAATCACCACCCTGTAGACCTCTGGGTTGCCCCCCCTCCTCCAACCAATGTGATGGAGCAGCCCCCTTCCATCAGGGTGGCCAAAGTTGCTGCAAAGAAACTGGAGGTTAATGCTGGACTCTGCTGTGGGGAGCGGGCTCCTCCACGACTGCAGGCATGCACCCAGGGACTGCATGCTGGGGCAGGAGGCCCGACTGGGCCACCCCACGCCCCAGTTCACACCAGTTTTCTTTTTCTGTATGTTTTTTGGGGAGGAGGAGTTGAGTGTGAGGAAACAGACATCAGAACAGAAAATGAACCAGAAGGGGTGGGAGAAATCTTCAGGAAATGGCAGGGAGCAGAAAGACGGGTTATTACTCTCCCAGGGAGTCTGGAGGGGGGTCCCCTGAGCAGGGGAAGTTGAGGGACACGTGCGGTGCTGCTGAAATTCCCTGCCTTGCCTTACCTGAGATGACTGACCCTGCCACTACCCAGCCCTGTCCTCTCTCCCCTCAAAGCCCCACTAACAGTGCTGGGAGTCTAGCCCTTGCCTGGACCCACCAGGAAAGGGGGAGGGGCAGAGAGCAGGGAGAGGCCCAGAGCCTCCAGCCTCTGATCACCTGGGCTAGAGGGAAGGCCACAAAGTCCCTATCCCCCTCCCCAGCCTTGGCCTAGGGGACTCTTCTCAGTCAACCACAATACCCTGTCCCACCCCAGCCCACGCCCCCCCAAATAACAACCAGAGGAAGAGAAAAAGGTGCCATTTACCGATGCCGACCTTGCGGGTGTCCAAACCGAGCGGGATGGGGGGGGCTCGGCAACTCCTGGGGGCCTGGCGAGGAGGCGGGCTTCCCGGGGAGGGGGGACACGGGACCGCTTACCTGGAGCCCCCAAGCTTACCTGAACACGCGCACAGACCCCACCCCCACCCCCACAGGGTCTGCTAAAGCTACAGGGAAGGGAAGTTGGGGCTCAGGGAGCCCCTAGAGGGAGGAACCACATCTCCTGCACCACCTGGAGACAGGTGGAGGAACAAAGTGGTGGACCCCATGGAAAGCTCACTGAGGGGGCTGACATGGAATGTGGGGGGGGGTCTGACCTGCTTGGACTGAACAAGGAGGCCGGGAGGCCTTGGAATGCCTGCCACTCTCACCAACGCCCAATTCTGGACACACACTCAACTAGGCACAGGCCCACCACCCACAGTACCACCACCAGCTCCACACGCCCTCCCCCCAGCTCCCCTCCCAGCCCCCGCTGCAGCTCCAAGGCTGACACGCAGGGGATGCACACTGGGGTCCAGGAGATGGAGTGCTGTCCGCGCTCCGAGGAGGGGCCACTTGGCCCCTGAACCCAGAGGAGGGGGAGGAAGGAACTTAAGGACTGGGGGTCGGAGTCAAGCACAGGAAGCCTGAAAGTGAGGGTTCAGTGTCCCAAACCCCAGGAGACCCAACCCAGGAGGAAGAGTGAAAATGTGATTGTGTCATCTAGGCTTCTCTCTCTCCCGCTCTCTACACCTGGCTCGGTGGCACAGTGGCAGGTGCGGAGTGAAGACCTCCTACACCTTCAGGCGGACGAGGCTGCTGGGCAGCTGCCTCAGCCCCTCCCACACAGGCCCAATTCCATGCATCTTGGGGGGCTCCTGAACACTTCTGGATTGCAGCGAGGCAGTGCGGCCAGGCCCCTCGGGAGACTACAACTATGCTAAGGCAGGTAGAGGAGGGGGCAGAGTACCCTGAAACTAGCAGCCAAAGACCCTCCAGGGCCACCACAGTTGACTGCCCCCTGGAAGCACAGGGGGACAGGGAATGACAGGCTGAAGGGCTCCACACAGAGCCCTGGCCCGAGCATACACCGGCCCCAGTGTTTCTGCCACCTTGCTGCTAATGTCTCCAGGCTGGGTAAGTCAAGGGCAGGGTGGACCCGACCAGAGGCCTGCTGTCTTTCCCATCAAGGCCCACCTTTCCCTTGTGGGATCAGCAAGACTGTCGGAGAGCATATGGATGGGACAGGAGGAGCAAAGGGCACCCCAACAAGGAAAGGGCTGTGGGTGCAGGGAGGCTGAGGGGTGGCCAGGGCGGGAGGAGGGGCGCCTTGCTGCTCCTGAGCTGCCTGGCTAAGCTGGGCTGGTGTGCGGTGCTGAGTGATCTTACCCATGATACAAACCCTTATACCAACCATACACTGAGGTGTTGTAAGGGGAGCGTAAGCATCAGCTGCAAGCCAGCTGCGTGGTGGCTGCAGTGACAATAAGAACAGTCAATTAATACGGCGGCCCCTGGACACGCCGCAGCCCTGCCCACCCCCACCCATCCAGCCCTGCCCATGTGGACGCCGCGCAGCCTCAAAGGGGCTTTGGAGCTGTGGGGACAGGCGCTAAAAACGCCCACCAGCCCACTGCCCACTGGGGAACAGGGTGGGGTCAGGGGTGGGGAGGCGGAGGGTCGGGTGGCCCAGCCCCAGATCTACTGGGGAGGGGGAAGAGAGGGCAGGTTCAAAGGCCAGTCCTCATTCCAACTTGGCTGTCCCCAAGCCAGTGGGGAAACCATGGGGAGAGGCTCCCCAAACATCCGACCCATCCCCCCACCTCCAGCTGGCCCCAGCCCCCACCCGATTCCCTCCTGGCCCCTGAGGTTCAACGTGTGACACTTACCTCCCCGGGCTCACACACACACACGTTGTGGGGGATTTGGTTTTTTTTAAAAAACACGTATATAAAAAAAAAAAAGATATATCAGAAACAGAGGGAGGAGAGACATTGCTAATGTCAGGCGTGGCGAGGGGAGGGACAGACGGAGCGGGCCGGGCAGCAGAGGTGAGAGGCTCAGGGAAGGCGGAGGCGCGCAGTACTCACAGTGCATGTCTCGCTCGTGTTCGTACTCAATGAAGGCATAGCCTCGGGGCTTTCCTGACCGCTTACTGTAGACCATGTGTATCTGCAAGGGGGTCAGGCCAGTCAGTCCTGCCACTGGGACACCCCCACCATCGCTGAACCCCCGGGCCAAGCCCTGGTCCCAGGAGGGCAGTAACATCTTCAGGCCTATGATACCTTTCAAGAACTTCGAGAGACTTCAATTGTACTGACCAGAGCAAAGGGTGAAAAGCAGAGCTCTGGGCAGAGGCAGCTTTCCAGAGAGAGGAACTTGAAATCAAGCCCTGAGCCTGTTAACTGGAGCCGTGGGAACGAGGGACAAGAGGGCTCAGGAGAGGCAGCCTGGAGGGATGCAGACCACGGCTCCACATGGATGCAGATGAGGGCACAGAGGTCAATGGAGAGGCAGACACTGGGGTTCACCAAATGCCCTTGAAGCCAGCCTAGGCAAAGTCTCCATGGAACTAAGAAAACATGCTGAGAAAAGGGCCAAGAGACACACTCTACAGATTTGGGAACAGGCATTCTGAATGCTGAGAGATCAGGGGAATGCTAGAAAAAAGGAGGGGGTGCATGCAGACACACAACCCAACACAAGCAAAGCCAGGGAGACCAGAGGGCACGTAGTGTAACTGTAAGATCTTACTACGAAGAGGGCAGCAAGGGACAGAGATGGGGGAAGGCATGTAGCCACATGAGGAATGAAGGGCCATAGGAAAAAACCTCTGGAAAGCTAGTCTCTAGCTTCTGGACCTGTCCAGACATATAAGGGAGCCACTGGAGGGCCTTGGCCTGCTCTGGGACTCCGTGGGGGACAGACTAATTAGGCTATTAAGTATAGCTATTGGGACAGACAGGGCCTGGATGAATGAGGGAAACTTCTATGAGATGAAACCACTTGAACTGATTTATAAAGGATGCTAATTCTTCATCTGCATCACTAACTCAGCGGGGCCACACCATGGATGGGTATGGTCCTGAGCTCATCTGGTCTTAGGATTTGAACTCTAGAACCCTGAAGCCTCTGAACTTCAATGGATATTCCAAACTGACCACAAGTGGAACCAGAGGAACGAGGTCAGAGTAAAGGCTCCTTTTGAGGCCTTAAACACCAGACCTGAGCTGGGCAAGAAGCCCAGCCCTAGAACACTTGTATAGCAAAGCCTGGGTTCCATTTACAGGATTGCAACAAATAAAAACAAAACTGAAAGTCATTTCCCAATGCCCAGGAAGAGACACCTGTGACCTAAGCACTCAGGAAGCTGAAGCAATAGAATCATTAGTTCAAGTCATGAATGTAGCCTAGGCTACATTTTTGAGACCGTAAGTCAAAATAAGTTAGTTATAATGGAAAACAAAAAGGAAACACTATGGCACTATTTCCCTCAAACCAGTCCCAGCCCAAACAACACGCATGCCCATGTGCATGATGGCCTCAAGCACACCACAGCCCCCAGGGAAAGGGAGGCAAGGCCTGGGACAGTCAAACAACTTTCAAATGCAGTAAAGAAGTCTCAGAGCTTTGCTCTAGAACTATAGTCAGAGGCTGTTTTTGATAAAAGGTCAAACAACAGACATGTCCAGCTCTTAAGGGCCACAGAACCTGTTATAACTTCTCAGTTCTGCACCCCAGTAATAACAAAAAAATATGGAAACTAATGCGCCTGCTTAGCTATGTACTAACAAAACTACTTACATACACAAGCATGGCTCACTTGTTTCTGAGTTAAATCAACAAGGAGTCATACTTCCCCCACTTTATTTGCACTACTCAGCTGCATAAATCCAGGCCCTGAATGACACTGCCCCTTGGGCTGGGAACCCAGTAGTCTCCCTCCCATTCAGACTAACCTATACCGATACCCCATAAACTTCTAACTCAAGCCCAACTTACTTTTTTGGCCAATCCTAGGATTTGAACTCAGGGCCTGGGCAGCGCCCCTGAGTTTCTTTTGCTCAAGACTAGCACTTTACCACTTGAGCCATAGCACCACTTCCAGCTTTTTCTATTATGTGGTACTGAGGAAATGAACCCAGGGCTTCATGCATGCTAGGCAAACTCTCTACCAGCAAGCCATATTCCTAGCCCCCAACTTACTCTTTTGATGGGTCCATACACTTCAAACTCTCTCCGAAGTTTAGACTCTGTTGTGTCATAGTTCTACAAGGAAATAGATAGACGTTAGATGGAAAAAAGGAGACAAAGAACTCTTTAACAGTTGAGGATGACTTGACATCCTCTGTCCACATGCAGGCTTTCAGCAGCTCAGGGTTCCCAGGACTGGGGACTGGGGACTCACCACTCTAGCCACGAAGAGAGTCTTGAAGGCATCACCCTGAGCATTGGGATCATTGTGAGGGTCCCCTGTGTAGGAAGAAGAGAATCTGCAAGTAGATGGTGTCTGCAGTCTCAGGTAGCAGGGCATGTAGATATGGATGGACAGAAGCCAAGAAAACAAAAAGATGGAACTGAGAAACCAGGTGCTAGTGGCTCACACCCCTAGCCCTAACCACTCAGGACAACATCTGAGTCAGGGCAGCTGGGGCAAGAGTCTGTGAGACTCATTTCCAATTAACCACCTGAAAACTGAAAGTAGCACCATGGCTCAAAGTGCTAGCCTTCAGAGAAAAAAGCTCAGGGACAGCATGCAGACCCTGAGTATAAGCCCCACAACTGACCAATGTTGTCAGACACCTTGTATTTATATACTGTTTTGTAGAATGGGAACTTCTTTGTACAACTACTTAAAGATAACAATAATAAAAAGGTTAAAAAAAAAAAAGAAACAAAAGGCTGGGAAGGTAGCTCAGTGGTAGAGTGCTTGCCCTGCACGCATAAGGCCCTGGGTTCGATTCCTCAGCACCACATAAGCAGAAAAAGCCAGAAGTGGCACTATGGCTCAGGTGGTAGAGCTCTAGCCTTGAGCTGAAGAGTTGAGGGATAGTGCCCAGGCCCAGAGTTCAGGCCCCATGACCGACAAAAAAAAAAAAGAAAAGACAAAAGGGAACCAAAGAAGCCCCCAACTGGAGGAATAGTTGGTAACCTAGCAACTTTAGACACATCCTTGTCTAAATTTCCTGAATCATGGTGGCCTTTACGTAACTGATAAACAAGTAAGGACAATAGGGTTAAGGATGACTTAAGAAGGCAGGGTAAGGTAGTACTAAATTTAGTCACTTCAAACCTACATACCCACTAGACCCCATCACTCAGGTGCAAGATAATCTGAGCAGTAACTAAGCCCACTAGGGCTTCTCTGGAGACAGCCCCATCTCAAGGTTGACTTTATCCTCCTCTTTACCTTATGGAGCCACACTGCCACCCACTGGATATGAGTAGAAACTACAGCCATGGGAAAACCTGTGACCAAGTAGTCTCAAGGTTGGGAATGAAAGCCATCTAGTGCTATAGCACTATAGACTAAGCTGGTCCTGCAGCTTCTGGGAGGAGCTGGAGCAAATGAGAAAGCTTACCGCAATAGATTTCCATTGTAGCCTCATCTCTTGAAGACAAGGAATGGTACTATCTGGCCATAAGAGAACGACCATTTCCAAAGACAAAAGTTAAGAGTCTATGAAAAACTAACTCTACTGCATGCGATAGCATGCCGGTAATAGGAGCAAGGGGCTGAAACCAAGAGGATCACTAGTTCAAGGCTAGTCCTGGCTACATAGTAAGCCCTGTCTCAAAAACAAAAAAGAGGGCTGGGAAGGTGGCTCAGTGGTAGAGTGCTTGCTTCGCGTGCATGAGGTCCTAGGTTTGATTCCTTAGTACCACATAAGCAGAAAAAGTCAGAAGTGGCGCTGTGGCTCAAATGGTAGTGTTTGCCTTGAGTTGAAGAGCTGAGGGACAGCGCCCAGGCCCAGAGTTCAGCCCCACAAATTCTGAGTGATTAGCTAGGTAATGCCTGGAAACAAATCCTTTTTACCAAATACAGTGGCCTGGCCCACAAAGTGGCGACAAGCCTCTCCAGGACCCCAAAGACACTACTGGCTGCACAATGGAGGCCTCTGTTCCATGGGATAGTGTTACATTAAGAGCACTGAGAGAATATGAGAAAAAGAACATTAATAATTTATTGAGTGCATACTTTAGTCCTGACAGTGTTAGGTACTGAGATTTATTTTTCACTATTTTGCAAATGAAAGCAAAATAAAACAACCTGAGATATGGAAAGGAGGAGGTATGGAAGGGGAGGGATCAGTCCAGGGTTGAGTCTCTAAGGACTGGAATTTAAGTTGGAAACCTCACTAGGCTTTTAGAGAGGTAAGCTAATACCTCAGAACTCTCTTTTTGTAGAGTACTCAGCCTTGATAAGCCTCTTTTTTTAATCTTAAAAATAAAATGGGAAAACAATGGAGGGGGTAACAATGTTCAAGAGGAAGTGTACTCATTACCTCACTCATGTAACTGTAACCCTCTGTATAGTACCTTTACAATAAAAAAAATTTAAAAAAAAGAACTGCATGAATAAAAAATAAATAAATAAAATAAAATGGGAGTCAGGCACCAGTGGCTCACATCTGTAATACTAGCAACTGCAGAGGCTGAGATCTGAGGCTCATGATTCCAAGCCAGCCAGGGCAGGAATGTCTGTGAGACTCTTAGCTCCAATTAACCACAAAGAGTCAGAAGTAGTGCTATGGTTAAGTGGTACAGCACTAGATTTGAGCACAAAAGTTCAGGGATAGCATCCAGGTGAAGATCAACTTCCAGTATCAGCACAAAAGAAGAAAACAAAAACATCAAGCAGCCAGGCACCAGTGGCTTACATCTGTAACCCTAGCTACTCAGGAAGCTGAGATCTGATTGACTGTGGTTCAAAGTCAGCCCAGACAGGAAGGTCCTTAAAGCTCTTATCTCCAGTTAACTACCAGAAAAGCAGGAAGTGGCGCTGTGGCTCAAGAGGTAGAGCGCTCAGCTTGAGCTCAAGAGCTCAGGGACAGTGCCCAGGCCCTGAGTACAAGCACCACAACCAACAAAACAAAAACCATCAAGGAAAATTAAAATGGAGCAACCAGGTGTGATTTTGCATACTTCAGTCCCAGCACTTGGGAAGCTAAGAGAGGTAGGTAACAAAGTACATCAATGTCCAGGTGCTGGTGGCAATGTCCAGGTGCTGGTGGCTCATGCCCATTATAATCCTGGCTACTCATGAGGCTAAGATCTGAGGATCACAGTTCAAAGCCAGCCAAGGCACAAAAGGCTGTGAGACTCCAATTAACCACCTAAAAACTGAAAGTGGAGCTGTGGCTCAAAGTGGTAGAGCATTAGCCTTGAGTGAAAATGCTCAGGGATTAGTGTCCAGGCCCTGAGTCCATGCCCCATGAACAACAATGACAACAAAGTACATCAGTGCTTATAAGCCCATGTCCTCCAACCATGATGTGTTCACTCTAACAAAGGACCAACAGATGTTAGTATGTGGCCATCCTTAGCTTTTGGTTAATGACTCCACTGTACTGGCCCTACTCTATTCAAGTTTCTCCTTTCCTAAAAGGGATGGGACACAGGCAGTGCAGGGGATGGGGAGATGGAGCCGGGTCTAGGACTGACCCACCGGCCAATACATCAATACCTCAGCCTGTTAAGATCCAGCCAGCCTTCATAAACTCTGAACTGCTGAGGTTTTCCCTCCTGCCAACCCCTGACCTCTCCCTTCCTGCTTAAAACCCTAAACCCAAAAGCAGTGCTAGCTAGGCAAGTAGGCCCATAGTGGTAAATCAATGAACCTCTTTTTCCAAAAGAAAACTCTAGGAAATCTGGGAGCCAAATGTGACCCGGGAAGAGAAACTTAAGGGGATCTGAAGGAAGATGACACTTACACATTTTTAGCTCTGTTTCCACTTCCTGCTGCCTCCGCTCAATCTTTTCTCGTCTCTGTCAGGGGAAAAGAGGAAAAGTGAGACAAAAGTGCCTTGAAAACCAGGTGCTGGGGAGGGGGGAGGGCCTTAGGGCTGGGAAGGTGGCTCAGTGGTAGAGTGCTTGCCTTGTAATGCATGAGACCCTGGGATTGATTCCTCAGCACCACATGAACAGAAAAAGCCAGAAGTAGTGAGCTGTGGCTCAAGTGGTAGAGTGCTAGCCTTGAGCTGAAGAGCTCAGGGACAGCGCTCAAATCCAGAGTTCAGGCCCCACAACCAGCTTCCTAGTGTTTAGGGGTTCATCAATGTGACCTGTGTCACAGCATTCACCTTGTGTTTGCTAAAGTGCACTATGGGAATTGCTTTTTCTTACCAAAATGGGTTCACTATTTTGAACTTCTTTTTAAAAAAAAATAAGCCAGGCACCTGTGGCTCACGCCTTTAATCCTAGCTACTCAGGAGACTAAGAGCTGAGGATCTGGGTTCAAAGCCAGCCTGGGCAGTAAAGTCCATGAAACTCTTTTTTTTTTGGTCCGGTCGCAGGGCCTGAACTCTGGGCCTGGGCGCTGTCCCTCAGCTCTTCAGCTCAAGGCTAGCACTCTACCACTTGAGCCACAGCGCCACTTCCGGCTTTTTTCTTCCTGCTTATGTGGTGCTGAGGAATCGAATCCAGGGCCTCGAGCATGCAAGGCAAGCGCTCTACCACTGAGCCACCTTCCCAGCCCCAAAGTCCATGAAACTCTTATCTCCAATAAGTCATCAGAAACCCAAAGTGGGGCTGCAGCTCACGTGGTAGAGGGCTAGCCTTGAGCTGAGGGACGGTGCCTAGGGCCCAGAGTTCAAGTCCCACGACTGACCAAAAAGAAAAAAAGAAACAAAGAAAGAAGCAAAGAAAGAAATAAACAAAGAAAGAAGCTATCCTGACCTGTATGCTTCTCTAAGAGAAAGTGAATTTGGGGACTTATTTTGTGAGCATCCTATTTTCTTGTTCAAAACATGTAGAGAAATCTTTTGTGCTCACCAGCAGACGCCTCCTTTGTATCAACTCCACTTCTTGTAAAAGGTGGAAGGGAAACCTTGTAGAAATTAAACAATAACGCCTAGTCCAAAAAAAAAAAGGTGCTGGTGACAAACGTTTGAATCCTAGGATCATAGTTCTAAACCAGTCAAGGCAGGAAAGTCCAAGAGACTCATCTCCAATCACAGAAAAAGCTGAAATGGAAATGTGGCTCAAGTGGTAGAATGCTATCCTTGAGCAAAAAGGAAACTCTAGGACCAGGCCCAGGCCAGAATTCAATCCCCAGGTCAGGCCAAAAAAACAAGCCTGAGATGGTGGCTAATGCCAGTAATCCTAGCTACTCAGGAAGTTAAGGTCTGAGGTTCAAAGTCAGCCTGGGCAGGAAAGTCCTTGAGACTCTTATCTCCAATTAACTACCAGAAAACTGAAGTGGTACTGTGGCTTAAGTGTTAGAATGCTAGTCTTGAGGTGAAGAGCTGAGGGACAGCACCCAGGCCAGAGTTCAAGCCCTATGACACATACAAACAGACACACACAGACACAGACACAGACACACACGGAGCTATGGCTCAACTGGCAGAACTAGCCTTGAGCTTGGGGAGGTACTCAGGCCCTCAGTTCAAGCCCCAGGACCAGCACCCAAAAAAAAAAAAAAAAAAGCTGGGCTGGAGGTATGGCTCAAATTGGTACCGTGCAAGCCATGAGTAAGAGAGCTCAAGCCTTGGTATTGGCACAAGGAGGGAGAGACCACTTGAAGAAAGTAGCTAAAAAGACCCAAGGTTAGGAGACAAAAATTGACATACCTTCCTCTCCATACGTTCCTCCCGGGTTTCTGCACGGGTTGGAGGCGGGGCATCTCGAGGGTCCTGGACACAAGAAGAAAGGTGACAAAAGTGTGGGCACTCAGGAATATATCAAGGAACACCAACCAGGGAAATATGAATATCAACCTCTTTCTATGCATACTCCACACCCAACTAAAAAAAATGCAACCCCACAGATCCCAGGTCTCAGAAGAGGCAGGGAACAGCACTGACCATAAGCTGGTCTATGACAAGCTAAATACAAAAATCTGAATTAGTTGGGCACCAGTGGCTCACACTGTAATCCTAGCTACTTAGGAGGCTGAGATCTGAGGATCATGGTTCAAAGCCAGCCCAGGCAGGAAAGTCCGTGAGACTCTTATCTCTCATAAACCACTAGAAGACTGGAAGTGGCGCTGGAAGTGGCTTGCCTTGAGCTGAAGAGCTGAGGGATAGCTCCCAAGCCCAGAGTTTAAGCCCCACGACCAAAAAAAGTAAAATAAAATATAATAAAAAAATCTGAATCATTAGCCAGGCACCGGCGGCTCACACCTGTAATCCTAGCTACTCAGGAGGCTGAGATCTGAGGATCACGGTTCAAAGCCAGCCCATGCAGGAAAGTCCATGAGACTCTTATCTCCAATAAACCACTCAGAAAACCAAAGTGGAGCTGGGGCTCAAGAGGTAGAGCACTAGCCTTGAGCTGAAGAGTGCAGGGACAGCACCCAGGCCCAGAGTTCAAGACCCATGATTGACAAATAAATAAATAAATAAAAATTCTGAATTATTCACAACCTTGTACAGTAATTCCACTGTAACTTTATGTGCACTGGCCCTAATAATATGAAGTTAGTGGTATTTTTTGCTGGTTTTAAAAATAAACACCAGAAGAAGGACACTGCATTTATAAAATATCAATCTACAATGGACTGCAAATATCCCCCTCCACAGACAATCAGAGTAGCATTGGAATAGGTAACACCTAACAACACAATAAGGCTTGTGTCTCCCACATTTAGAGCACATGCTGTTTCTCACAGCCCCGAGTATGGTTTCCAGAAGACAAAGAGCCTGACGATGGGATAGAAGCAGTGACAGGGGGCTCGGGCTACAACTGCCAAGAACAGGAAGAAGCCAGCAACCACAGAAGCTGATGATAGTACAGGTCCTCTGAGAGCAGACAACTAGACCCACTCTGAGGTTCCAGAAAAGCTTAAAGATCTCCTCAGCATCTCATTGTCTCATTAAATACGAACTGGCACAGGACTTGTACCATCAAAGGGTGCCACTGGCCTATACCCATTAAATTAATTCATTTGGCCAATAACATTTCCCAAGGGCAGGTTCACCTAGGTTTAGCAATACAACTTTCTGTTAGCTAAATTCTGCTTGTCAACTCCAACTTTCTTCCCTACACAATTTCAGAATGTTCCTCATGGGACAGCTGGGCTGTGTGCCAGCATTTCTCAGGTGTGCTCTGTGGACCTTTCTCATTTTTCAAACAAAAGAACAGAGGCCTAGGAGATCAACTTGTTTATTTGTTTATCCTCAAGCCCACAGCCTAATTATTAGCACTCTTATTGCCCACTGCTATCAACACTTGTCCTCTCAGTTAGAAAACAGTAAACACAGTAACCAATGCTGACAGGTACCCACCGCTTTGTGTCAAACTCTTTGACATTAATTCTGTCAGGATCATGAGCATGTTACTGTAGCTTCTTGGTAAACACAAAGAAACCAATGCATCAAGAAGATACAACACTGGCTCAAGGTCACACAGCAGATAAATGGCATGGGCCAAGGACTGAGTGCACAGCTCCATCTTTTTTTAATTGTGAAAATACCATACAGAGGGGTTACAATTACATAGGCAAGATACAGAGCTCCATCTTTAACCACTACTGACTTCCAAAAACCCACACAAGGGATGGATGGTGAATAAGGAAATAGAGTGTGAATGTGATCAAAGGATATATGTATGGCTATTACAATGGATCCCCCACTGTACAATTTTTTGTTGTTAAAAGTTAGGGACACTTAGGATGAGAAAAGTCACCTCCCCGAAATCACCCAGCTTGAAAGGACCAGAAACTGGCCTTCTCAATCCAAACCACTGCCCACCAGAACCCATTCCTAGGCTGTTGAGAGAACTCACCTCAAACTCTCTGATGTATGGCGCAATGCCACAATAAGGTTGGTTGTGATGTTTTTCATGTGGCAGCTTCTCCAAGGGTGGCAGATATGGGATGGGGTCACGGGGGGCAAAGAGGGCCAGGAGGTTGGGTGGCAGGAACTGGGTCATCTTGCCAAGTCTGAGAGCAAAAGGAAGACAGCCTTATGTTAGGGTGGGAGTGGATGGGGCACATAGATCCTCTATTGCTCCTTCTCGGTCAAAAAGATGAGGAAAAGGGTAAGAAGGAAGCCTTAGTACCACAGCAAGCTCTGGAAAGATAGGGTGCCACACTACCACTTCAGGAGAGGGGGGGGAGGGCAAATCTGCATGTGAACACCGAGCGACGGTGGGAGCACGAAGACAAAGGCTAATGAAAAAAAAAAAAACAAAAAAAAAAGACTAAAAGGGTTTCTGAGGATGAAGTCTCTGTGTCCTAAGCGACAAGCTGGGGGAGTGAGAACTTCCCCCAGAGGCTTACGGGGAAACTAAGGATCCGGAGCAGACCCAGAGTAGTGGTCCCACACCTTGGAAATTAAGAGGCAGGGGTCTCTCGGGACTTAAGGCGGGAAGTCGCAGAGCAAAAGGAGTCATGAGGAGCAGAATGCCCCCTCCCGTCAAGCCAGAGGTTTGTGGGTAATGGATCTGGGCTACCGGCGGCGATAGGAATTATGGGTAAGGGTCCCGGCCGCCTCAGAAAGGCGATAAGGTAAAAAGGCAACACACCGCAAGGGCCTGTGGGTAGAGGACGCCGAAGGCGGGGGGTCGCTGAGGAAAGAGGGCGCGAGTGTCCAGAGGACTCTGGGTAAGGGGCTCCAAAGAGTGCTGAGGGAGGTCGCGGGAAGGGGTCAGGCCGCGGGGAAAGAGACTGAGGCCCACCGCGGGGCCTTGTGGGTAGCGGTTCCGTTCCCCGTAAGGCCACTCGGTCACTCACCCGCCGCGCGGCGCCCTCCTTGGCCTGACGTTAGTCCCGGGGCTCGCGGCGGCGGCGGCGGCGGCCCCTCAGCAACCAGGACTCCCACTCCGGCTTCGACTCGGTCGGAGCCCGCGTCGCTGTTCTCCGGTCTCCAGCCTAGCGCGCGCGCACCAGGCCGCTACTCCACAGCCCGCGCGGCCTCCGCTCACGACGGGAACAGGGGGTGGGTCCCGGACTCAAATCCCTCCGCTGCCTCATTGCGCACGCGCTGCTCCCGTTAGGCGCCGCCCACACAACCAACTAGCCCCCCGCTAAGGGAAGGACGCATGCGCGAAACTACTACCTCCGCCTTCCCGCGTCTTCAACTTCTCGGCCGCGGCTGCTCGGCGGTCGCACTACGCAGGCGCATTCACCAGCGAGCGCCGGCCTCCACCTCGCGCTCTCGGCTCCAACTGCCTCAGTATGCGATTCTCTTCCCGATGCCCCGCCCCTTCATCTTAGCACTTCCCGGATCTTTTGCGCATGTGCTCGTGGCATTCTGAGTGTATCCCTCCGCGGCCAAAGAGTCCTTACGTGAAGAGTCGTTTGCTGGCCCATCAGTAATTTTTTTTTTCTTTTTTTGCCAGTACTGGGGCTTGAACTCTGGGTGTAGGCTTGCTCAATGCTGGCGCTCACCGCTTGAGCCATAGCGCCATTTCTGGCTTTTTTCTGCGATTAATTGGAGATACAATTCTCACAGACTTTCCCACCTGGGCTGACTTAGAACCGCGATCCTCCGATCAGCCTCCTGATTACAGGTGTGAGCACTGGCGCCAGGCTGTTTAGGCATTGTTTAGGCTCCGGGACACACAGCACGTGACAAAAATCTTCCTATGGGAGCTGAAAAAGTGCAGGGGAAGCTGGGCTCCGAATTTCCCTCCTGTAATCCTAGCTACTCAGGAGGCTGAAATGTGAGAACCCTGGTTCAAAGCCAGCCTCGGTGGTTAAAAAAAAAACTATGAGACACTTGTCACCAATTAACCATCAAAAAGCCAGAAATGGAGTTGTGTCTTAAGTGGTAGAGTGCTGGCCTTGAGCAAAACAGCTCAGGAACAGCAACCAGGCCCTGAGTTCAAGCCCCAGAACCTTCACATACACACACACAAAGTGTTGCCTCTAGAATAAACTTTGGAATAAAGGTTTGAAAGAAAATCTTGGGGCTGGGAATGTGGCTTAGTGGTAGAGTGCTTGCCTAGCATGCATGAAGCCCTGGGTTCAATTCCTCAATACCACATACTCAGAAAAAGCTGGAAGTGGCACTGTGGGTCAAGTGGTAGAGTGCTAGCCTTGAGCAAAAGAAGCTCAGGGACAGTCCCTGAGTTCAAGCCCCAAGACTGGCAAAAAAATAAAATAAAAATCTGGGAATAAAAATATAAAATGAGCTGGTGGCTCATGCCTATAGGCTGAGATCTGAGGATGGTGGTTCAAAGCCAACCCAGGTAGGAAATCCCATGATACTCATCTCCAATAAATCACCAGAAAACCAGAATTGGCACTGTGGCAAGTGGTAGAGGCTAGCCTTGAGCTGAGGGACAGCGCCCAGGCCCCACAGTCAAACCCCCCCCCAAAAAAAAGAGAATCTGGGGCTGGGAGTATGATTTTAAGTGATAGAGCACCTGGCTAGCAATCTTCTTCAACCCCACTACTGTAGGAAAAAAATTAGAACCTGGCTGGGCTTATCAGCAACAGTATATGGCCTGGGTTGGGATGAAGTTAGTTTACTGATCTATGGTGTATATTCCTATATTTATTGTATATTATTATTTTGGTCAGCTATGGGGCTTGAACTCAGGGCCTGGGCACTGTCCCTGAGCTCTTCAGCTCAAGGCAAGGGCTCTATCACTTGAGCCACAGTGCCACTTCCAGTTTCAGGGCTGGGAAAGTGGCTCAGTAGTAGAGTGCCTGCCTTGCATGCATGAGGCCCTGGGTTCGATTCCTCAGCATCACATTAGAAGAAAAAGCTGGAAGTGGTGTTATGGCTCAAATGGTAGAGCACTAGCCTTAAACTGAAGAGCTGAGGGACAGTGCCTAGGCCCAGATTTCAGGTCCCACAACCACCCAAAAAAAAAAAAAAAAGTCT